CTGGGCTGGGCTGGGCTGGGCTGGGCTGGGCTGGGCCGGGCTGGGCTGGGCTGGGCTGGGCCGGGCTGGGCTGGGCTGGGCCGGGCTGGGCTGGGGGCAGCTGGCTGGGTTGGCCTGAGAGCAGTGTGTGCCTTCCTGTGGGCCTGTGGTGCACCTTCCTCTCGACTGGTGCTTCTCAGATTTCCAGCTGATTCCTTTCTTTCCACGGTGCCTGTTCACATGCGGCACTCTTTTCTGCTGATTCCTTGTTGCCTCCCCTCCCCCGCCCAACAATTGGCAGGAGGAGGAGCTCCACGAGTACTTCAGGGAACTTGTTGACTTTGTCAAGAAGAGAGCACTCCAAATACCCCTGTCTCTCTCACTCCCCTCTCTGCCTTCCCGTGCACCTGTGGCCTCCTGGCTTTGTGTGTGTCAGGAGGAGGAGCTACACGAGTACTTCAGGGGACTTGTTGACTTTGTCAAGAAGCGAACAGGTGGGCTGCATGCTGTGTGTGCGTGTGTGTTTGGCCGTGCACCACTGAGTGTGGATGTGTGCATGCTTGCCCTCGCATTCACATTGAGTGGACTATCCTCCTCCCCTCCCCTCCACCCTACCCCTTCACCCACACATGCGCACACATGTAACAGGCACAGGCGATGAAACAGCAGATGCAGTGGCGGCGCGCAGCAGCACCGGCAGAACAGCAGGGCGGCGGGTGGATGCTGCTCCGATCACAGCCAAGGAGGTGGAACCCCACCTCAAGGACTTTGCTGTGCGATGGAAGGTGAGCATGAGGAGGAGGGAGCGCAGGGAGGATGCCGCTTAAGTCAGTTGACTTTGTAGCAATGTTTTCATCAACCACATCACAGCCAAGGAGGTGGAACCGCACCTCAAGGACTTTGCCGTGCGATGGAAGGTGAGGGAGAAGAGAGAGGTGGAGTGTTTGTTTAGGCGCCCCAACAAGAGCGACGCACAGCACAGGTCACCCACATCACAGCCGCCGAGGTGGACCTGCACCTCGAGGACTTGTGCTGTCAGATGGATGGAGAGTGAGGGGGAGGAGAGAGCAGATGAACCAAATGTGTTTTGAGGCGCCTCAAAATTCACTTTTTTGAGGCGCCTCAAAATGCACTTAAGTGAGGCGCCTCAAAATGCACTTAAGTGAGGCGCCTCAAAATGCACTTAAGTGAGGGGGAGGAGAGAGCAGATGAACCAAATGTGTGTTGTTCGGCATGTGTTCAGAATCAATATGGGCTTCCTCCTTCCATATACCACCTGCACGCCACCATAGACCTCATCCTCAAGGAAAGGTCGATTTTTGAGTCGCCTAAAAAATCGACTTATCACCTGCACTGCACGCCACCATAGGCCTCATCCTCAAAGAAATCATCGCCAGCCAGTGTTTGAGTTTTTTTGAGCCATCATGTCTCCCGCTTTCCATGTCCCCATTCCACAAAACTGTCAGACAGGGCACCATAGACCTGCCATAGACCTGATCCACGAGGGCATAATCACCAACCTATGCAACTGAAAGTGCAGAGTCGAGAGTGTGTCCCTTGACCAATCCAGCATGCGGCATACCTCATGCAGCACCTGCCAGTTCTCCTTCCCGATCCAACAAGCCCCCATAGACCTGATTCACAAGGAAATCAACACCAAGCTCAGCAAGAGTTCTAAACTTCTGAGAACAGTCATATCTCCCCGTTTTGATGTCCTCTCCTCTGCAGGCGACCATAGATTTGATCCACAAGGATATAATCACCAACTTCAGCAACTTTGTGTGCGGCATGGACAACCTGAGAGCCACTCTCACCCAGCTGCTTCTCCACTATCCCCCCATCCATCTCCCCCCGCCCCTTCGCTAATCCTACAGGCCACCATAGATCTGATCCACAAGGACATCATCACCAACTTCAGCAACTTTGTGTGCGGCATGGACATCCTGAGAGCCGCTCTCACCCAGCTGCTGCTCTACTACACGCGCCTCTCCGACTGCCTCAAGGTGTGTGTCGTGGAAGCATCTTTGCTGCATGAAAGCACACTACTCGTTCTAAATTGAATGCTCCGTTTCTGTACACATCACAATCCTAAAGCGGCCCTCACCCAGCTGCTGCTCTACTACCTATGCCGCTCTGACTGTCTCAAGGTGTGTTTCTAGGAAACACAATTGCTGATGCCAGTACACACCATCAATGCTTTAAGCACGTATCACAGTGACTTCCTGAAGATGGGTCTTGAGAATGCACAACTGTTTTGTAGTGCACGCTTCTCGTCTCATTTGGAAGTGACTTGATGGCTGTGTGTGCCCACCATTGTTTTGAAAGCCCTTTGATGCGGCTGAGCCTGTTAACTGGCAGTTGTCGACAATGCCTGTTGAATATGTTGCTCATGTATTACATCTGCATTGTCCTTATCCACACATGTATGCCATTTTTTTCTGTGTGTTATTGACCTTCCTCCTCCCCTCCTTATGTGCCAACTGTGACTGTAGCGAGTGGAGGGTGGCGCATCACTAATGAAGGATGTGGTTTCCATACCATCTATCATGTACGAGATCCGCAAGTACAGCCTCACGTTCTAATAGGCCACCTTGGCCTCTCACGATATAACCACCTGTAAATGGCTGGCAAGTCAACAATGGTTTCTGTACCATCTCAATCTACATGTAACATCCCGTACCCCCTACAATGCAACCCAACGTAGCCTACAGGTTCCCAAATATATATGTGTACACTAACAGGTACAACACGGAGGTTCCTCTTACATGGAGGGCAAATCTCATATCCATCTGGGATGTCATATCTTTGGCCTTCCAGCCTCTGCAGAGAGGATAAGGAAGGAACAGTTAGCAAAACTAGCTCACCCTCCTACCTGTCAGTTATGAATGGAAGTTGTGCATTGCTTAAGTATTTGCTCATGAAAAAAAAATATAAGTACGGCAAGGCTATACATCCACTAAATACATGTTTGATTCGGTTTAGGAATATTATAAATTGAAGGGAGCTGCTTGTAGATGAGGAGGTGTTGCGGCTGCCAGTGGAGTTGATCAGCACGCGATGCCGCAAACCAAACTGGGAGAATGCATGGCGCGAAGAAGGCGTGAGCGAAGCGTGGGAAACGGCGGGATAATATAGGCGTGAGAAGGAGCTCCCAAAGCCTGTCGTTTTGTTTGCCAATTCTGCAGCATGTCTGAAGTTAGATGGGAGGTTATGACGGGTTTTGACGGAAGTGGACGGATCTCGTTTGGGTGTTTTCTCGAGAGGTCTTCGTTCAAAGGGCCCTCGACACCTCGACACCCAGCCTCGACACCCCCGATGTCTTGGAGATGTCGAGGGATGCCGAAAGTGCGTCTGGGCAGGAAAACGGGCATAAAACGGGGAATTCAGCGAATAGAAGCGACCACTGTCAGATTTGGGGCATCTCTTTCACTGCATATCATTGTTTTAGGTTACACGCACCTGGTTTTCCGCATGTTGGAGGTCACAAAAGCGCGGAGCGTGACATCCCAAAGGGCGGACATCCGTCGATTCGCCGGATATCGACGGATGTTGTTGAGGAACGTAAGCTCTATCTGGAACAGATGTGCTTCACATCACATCAGCTCACAGCTCACTGGCACTGCTAGTGCTGCTGGTCAGCAGGAGTGTGAAATGACCAATTTTGAACCGAAATTGGACCTCATTCGGAGCCTTCTGTGGGGCTGTGCTGCAAGTGACCATCAGTGATAATTCACCCCATTCACAAGGAGATTCCGTCACATCATTTCACTGGCACAGCTCTTAGAGCAGGATGTCGTAGGTCGGACCTGGTACCCCATACCAGAGGAACTCTTCTATGCCGCTGAAACACTCTTCATAGATCCGATTGTCCTACGTTGGAATCCAATCACTCAACTATTTTGTTGAGAGGTATGGATCACCAGTCCGGCTCCGGTAGAGGAGGCAGCAGGGGGCGAGGCCGGAATCATGGCGGACGGGGGAACTTTGGAGGCAGAGGAAAGCGGCAGTCTGATCATCAGAATCAGAATCAGAATCATAATCAGAATCAGAATCATGGCGGAGGTCGCGGACGTGGTGGGAGTGAGAGAGGTAGGGGAGGAAGAGGAGGAGGAGAAGGAGGAGGAGGAGGAGGAGGAGGAGGAGGAGGAGGAGGAGGAGGAGGAGGAGGAGGAGGAGGAGGAGGAGGAGGAGGAGGAGGAGGAGGAGGAGGAGGAGGAGGGAGAGGATCAGAAGGGAGAGGAGGAGGGAGAGGAGGAGAAGGGAGAGGAGGAGGGGGAGGAGGATGGGGAGGAGGATGGGGAGGAAGAGGAGGAGGAGGGGGAGGAAGAGGAGGGGGAGGAGGAGGAAGAGGAGGACGAGGACGAGGAGGGACGTCCAGTTTAAACGGTCAGGGGATGAAGGGTCCTGACCTACGGTCCTTCCTCCTGAGTGACAGAGACTTCGTGGATCAGTCTCAAATGATTTTTTTCGTGAACGCAATGGAAGCTCATGATGTCTCAGGTACTAGCATTTTTTCAAACCTTCCCATGGTGACAAATTGCCCTTTCAGAGAGTGCTGACAGTGCTATTTTCAACTTGTCAATCAATGATACTGATGTCACAAGATCTAACAATGTTCAATTCTAACCGTTTTTTGCAGATCTGGTGATTGTGCTCGCTGATGACAAGGTCTTTGGCAGAAAGAAGGTGGTTAGCATCTGTCGGGAGGCCGTGGCTTGCGGTCCTTCAAGATCCGTGTCCGCTGGGAACCACAGCAAATTCGTCTCCTTCCAGGGCGTGATTCTGCCTTTGCTCAGGGTCATCTGTCAGGTAACGTCTCGCACTTTGACTAATTATTTGTACTCTTTTTTGGTCACATTCAACCTTTATTTCGTTCGAATTTTGCAATTGAATCTCTGCAGCCCGAGTTTTTCAACAACCCGGCATCGAGTAAAGTCAACATAACCCTAGCAGCAATCGTCGAGGTGGAAGGACTCCAGGAGTACCTAATCAGCTGCATGCGACTCCTAACCCAACGCGGGATGATCCGCGATCTCTCACGTCACGACGACAATATCACCGACTGGGACGCGGCATTCCACGTCATCGTCAGCTTCTTCAACCTCACGATGGATAGGTTCTACTCCTTATTCGACGCGGCACAAGCCAATGCAGACATGCAGGAGGTGGAAGGCATGCTGGAGAAGTGGCAGAGGGAGAAGCCGGTGTTTGATGGGAAATACCATAGCATTCAATCGGTGATCTACAGGCTGCGGAAGTCGCTGGATAGACGCCAGCACAGTGAGAGACAGCGGCAGCGGATGGAGGAAGGGCAGCTGCTTCATGCCGAGTTCTTCCCTCCAGGTCCGTGCGTGCTGTGCCACGAGCTGCCGTCTGTTTTGATCAATTCCGGCTCATGTCAAATGTTTCAGATTTCCGTCTAATGTCAAGACAATGACACTCGCGTGCTACTGTTGTGATATGAACCATGTGTGCAGGTCAGCGCGTGACCAGCATGCAGGATGTGGATGGTCCGGGCGAGCTCAGCTTCGATGGCTGCCCGCGACATGACAACGACCATCTTGAAATCTCAGCCGTAAGATGATGGTCATCTTCTGATGTACGTGACATGGCAATCATTTCTGGTAATAAAATTGTTTCTAGCTTGATTCTTGGTAGTGCTGATTTTGATGGGTTTTTCGTGGTAGTGCTTATTCTTGGTAGTGTTGCCTGATACCGGATTCCTGTCTTGATAATTCCCTTTTCTGAAACCAGTATGTTCCTGTCTTGATTGTTCCCTTTCCGAAGAGAAGACCAGACTCGTCCTGTCCTATCCCCTCCTTTGTTTGACCTCAGATCTCAGTGGCGCCAACGATGGAGGAGGTGCTGTGCAAGGCCTCGCTATACCTGCCACACAACCACCCCAGCGAGCCGCACCACCTGCCAGCGGGCTCGGTAGCCCGCCACGTGGACATCCACTTCCGCCTGCTGCGCCACGATTTGATTTCCCCCCTCTGGAGCAAGGCGCTCTTCCTCCTCCACCACCTCAACCACGAGTCCTCCTCCCGGGATGCTCGTGGTGGCGGGGGAAGTAGCAGCAGGACCAGCGGCGGCGGCGGCGGCGGCGGCGGTGGTGGGGGCAGAGGCGGCAGCAGGGAGGAGGCGATGGGGCTGTTGAGGGCGGACAGGGAGTTGGTGCGGGGTCTGACGGACGACATGAAGGGCGTGGTGGGGTTTTCTTCCGAAGACATGGATGTGTATCTGCTCAGGGATGTGCGTGTGCTGGGTATTGACACGGACAGGCGCAGCGGCGTGCACTTTCTAGTTGACTTTTTGGAACCTCCCATGCCACGGGGCCGGAATGCTCATAAAAGCAGGTAACCCAAGCTTATTTGCACTTGATGCCGACTTTTATCATACGCATGCGTGCGTCTTGGTTGGTTGGTTCTTGCCTGCCAGCCAGTTGTTCCTGATCGTCAAACCCGCCTAACCTCTTTCTCGCGTCCTCCTTGTGTTTTTGTTGGGTGTTTTCCTTCAGGGTGGAGTTCTGGGAGAACACGCGGAGGCTGCAGAACGGCTCCTTGGTCTGCCTGTGGATCCGAGACTTTCAGTCCAGTCATACTCACACTCACACTCACGATCACAGGCAGCAACAGCCGCAGCAACAGCAACAGCAAATCCCCCCTCCGAGGGACACTCAAAATTCAGCAAGTGATTCCTCCTCCCACCGGCTCATCTTCGCCACCATCACAGCCCGCGAAACATGGAGGCTTGCCACTGCCAGACCACAGATCGGGGTGCAGCCGTGCGGGGGCGACGGGTTCAGTGCGGACCTGCTGGGGCTGATAGCTCAGGACGGCAACAGGGGGAGTGACGGGAGTGGCGGGAGTGGCGGGAGGACGCAGGTGGTGATGCTGGAAGCGGCTGGAAGCTTCTTTGCATATGAGCCGATTCTGAAGGCGCTGCAGAGCATTACTGACACGTCACTTCCCTTCTCTGAGTACATCTGTGGGGCACCTGAAGGGGCACCTGTTGGAGCACCTGGGAGGGCACATGGAGCGTATAAGCTGCCTGCTTACATCAAAGGAGGGATGATGTAAGTGGGAAGGGGAGAGTCACTCTCAAGGGGGGTCTGCACGGTTATGTTGGAGGAGATGGGCTAAATGAGAGGGAGAGAGGTTGGGTGGGTTGGTCAGAGGGGGGAAATTCATGTTTGTAGTTTTTAGCTTTCTCACAACATTCTTGCATGCATGACATTCTTGCAACAATGGCATGTCTCTTCAGCATTTCAGGATTATTTTCGAGATCTCATCTACCACCACCAAGGCAATGTTCTAAATCCTCACCTCCTCCTCTCATCGAGAGCAAGCCTCCGCGCGTGTGTATGCGTGTGTGTGCCTGTGTTGTGTGTTACCTTGCTTGCAGATCTGCTCTAGACCAAGTCTCCCTCCGTCTCCCAGCAGGCCGAAACTGCCGATCAGCACGCTACAGAGGACGAGTTTGCCATCAGAAACGTGAGGAGTTCCAGCCCCACGCCCTTCC